GGGGGGGGGGGGGGGGGGGGGGGGGGCTTCACGCCCATTGGGCGCTGGCACGGGTGGCGGGTGCGCACATGGGTGGCACGCCAGGCTTTTAGTCGGCCGCGATCGCGCAAGGCAGCGCGCCTCGGGAACAACGGTGTGCACTTGCAGGGTGAGGAGAGTGGACTCGATTTGTTGCGATGCGCGTTGATGTCAGCCCTGCAGGCCGCAGATGTTTGCGTTGGATGCATCAAAGTGCGAGTGAGCAGGCCTCATCTGTTCCCCTTTGCACTAACCCCGCCCTGCCTTTCCTCTCTCAACGTGCACACGCTGGCGCTTGGTCTCTGTCATCAGTTTGAGGCCAGGTGAGCGCAGCGCCTTGCCAGAAGACCCGCAACCTTTGTGCCACCAGGGGGGCAAAACAAAAGCAAATGCTGCCCCACTGTGCGAGGCGATCCGCTTGCGCTTCTCGAGACTCGCATCTGAACCTCAGCTGCAGACAGCCGCCCTGGCCGCCAGCCTACCGCCTGCTCAAGTTGAGCCCGCGCCCCATCCAACGCGGAACGCCGCCGCCCCGCAGCGGTATGACGTCTGCTCGTGGCAAGCTGTGGGTGGTCTTTGACAACCTCCACAGGTCAGGCGCACCGGCTTCGGCCTGCAGGATGCCTTGGAAGGGGGAGAGGGGGGGAGCAGCGCGGGCACTCTGGCAGGGGGTATGGCAGGGCCCGCCTTACAGTAGGGGGTCGGTGGCGCTCGACGCCGTGCTGCCAGCTGGGGCTGTGCCTGCACCCGCGGGGGGGGGGGGGGTTTGCAGGCTGGCTTGCGGTGGTGATGTGCGCATCCCCGGGCACACCCCCTCCTGTGGACCAATGGCAATGCTCGAATCCCAGCAAACAAGGGGCCGTTTGCTTCGACCAGCCCTGCAGCAACGCCCCTCCCTGGCGCCGCTCCCCTCCGCCCTGCCCTCCACCCCCAACACCCACACTGCAGCCTGGGACGCATCGATGAGCACTTCCAGTTCCGCGACCCGGGCAACACTCTGCTCGGCCACACTGGGGAGGACAGCCAGTTCGAGGTGCAGCAGGGCAGGGCAGAGCGGGGCCAGGCCGACTGCTCGTCAGCCCCGCCCGACTGCTCTTGACCGCCCCAGCCTGTGCATGGCAAACACAGCCAACAATCCCGCAACGCAAGCGGCCTTTGCCAATATTGCGCCAGCCTGCCTTACCAATTCACCCGCCTGCAGGCCCCACCTTGCGCGTTGAGACCGCCACCCACTGTCCCACGCTCTGCCACCCAACCCCTACCGCTCCGTTGGTCCAAACAGGGCCTGTCTTACGACGAGAAGACCGGCCACTTTTACGTGATTGAGGAGGTGGTGGAGCACAACGACACACACCTCCACCCAGTAGCACAGGCAGGGCTGAGAGTACTTTTATTCCAACCACTGCTGCCGCACGGTGCCGCCACGCAAGCGCATGGCCTGCTTCCCCTGCCTCCTCATTCCACTGCCGGTAGCCTGGGTGGATGGGCCGGGCATCGAGGGCCGCAGGGTGGCGCTCAAGCTTACTAGCTCCTAACAGCGAGGCCGCAGGCCTGCCTGCGGGCTGGCCCTCATCATGACCTACCGCTGCCTCTTTGGACCCGCAGGAGCTGGCGGTTGACGAGCGCACCAACACCTACAAAGTCATAGAGAGGTGCCCCGTGCACTTCAAGGTGGGCGGGCCTCGCTGACGCCAGGCAGGCAGCCAGCCAGCTAGCCAAGCCGCTATCGAGCCCCTTGAGCTCCTGGAATCAATGTTGGCAGGGGCCGGGCCCCATGGCAGCTACAGGGTTGCTGAGTGTCCTTGCTTCGCCGCCGCATTCGTGCATGGCTGAGGCCTGCGCTCGCCCCTGCCCCCGTCTCCACCTCACTGCCTGCCTCCTGCCCGCGACGCACGTCCGCCTGGTGCAGATCACCCACGAGAACAAGGGCTTTGAGGTGAGGGCTGGCTGCCAGGCAGCACTTGGAAACCTTCCCCTGCGCACGCAAACACACGCGCATGCTGCCATGTGTCATGCACAAGATTGATAATAGACGAAGGCCCGGGCTTGTAGCAGTGCGCGCTGCCCCATTGCTTGCTATCCATGGTGCGGCACCGCCGCGGCCCCCTACCAAACTGCCTCTTGTGTCGGTTTCTTCGCCCCCCTGCACCTGCTCCACACAAACCTTCACATCTGAATACACGCCCTCCTGTTCAACCTTCCCATCCCTCTCCTGGCACTTGCACGCATATTCTCCTCGTTTCAGGGCATCCACTATTTCCGTGACCCCAAGGACCCTAGCCGGGAGCTGCTGCTCGGTCTCTGCGAGGGTGAGGGGTGATGTGAAGAGTGCCGAGTCACTGATAAGTCCGGCGTGCGGCAGTCGCATGGTTGATCGCCTCTCTACTGATGGCGTGGCAGTGCGGCACACACGCAGTGTGCACCTGCAGCACTGCCACGAGCACCAGTGGCCTGCCACGAGCAATTCCACGCACCTTGGAGGGCTGTGCTCGCCACCCGTGATGCGCAGCTCGGACGTGGCTTGCCGCCTTGCACGCGCCACCGACCGCAAACACCCACGATCGCCCTACCCCCCACTTTGCCAGGAAACTATTGCAGGGGTGGCAAGAAGGGCCGTGACCCCGGCAACGGCCGCATCGTGGTGTCCCAGTTCTGGAAGAACTCCAGCGGTTGCGCCTGGGGTGAGAGGGTGTGCCGCGCACGCTTGTGTGTGTGTGTGTGTGTATGTGTGGGAGGGGGGAGTGCAGGGTGGGAGAGGAGGTGGGGATGGGGTGTGTACACACGTGCGTGCGTGCGTGCGTGCGTGCGTGCGTGCGCACGTGCATGTTCTCGTGCGTGTCAAGCAGGTACCTTTGCTCAATGCCCAACCTTGTGTGTTTTTCTCACACCATTCCCCTCTCCACCCTCTTGCCTTGCCAGACGTGGTGAAGATCGTGGACATCCCTCCCTCGGCGAACTTCATGGACTACTCGGGCATTGACTTCCGCGGCGACAGGGTGGGGCCCTGGGGCGGTCAGGGCGGGCCTTGGCGCCTGCATGGGCTGCAGTTGCAGGGGCATATCAAGGGGCCTCTGCGGGCGGTTGAGCCGTGCTGATGGCTGTATTGTTCGTGCTGAAGCGCGGCGCTGTTCAAACAGACCTCCACCCTTATCAAAGGTCTCACGTCCCGATGCCACGCGCCCTCCTACCTGCACCGCTCATCGCACCCGCGGCGCGACCCTGTCCTCAACCCCACCCTCTCGTGCCCGACCCCCTCCCCAGGTGGCCATCACCAGCCAGGAAGACAGCGCTGTGTGGGTGGGGCGCTTTGACTTCCACGAGCTCGACTTTGTCGACACTGACAAGGCGCAGGTGTACCACTTCCCGCGCGACAACCACTGCGACATGGTGGGCTTTTTTTGGGGGGGGGGGGGGGCGAGGGGCGCCGAGCGGAGTGCATGATTTGAGAGTGCGGAGGTTGTGCTGATGTCTGCAATGAGTGGGGTCGGCTTTGCACTGGGTCGTGTCTGAAAGCAAAGCTTGCAAATCAACAGTGGTTCGTGCGCAAGCAGGGAAGACGTGTGTGATGGCCAAGCAGCCGCCTGTGCAGCTTGGGGCTGTGCGAAAAGCATGCTCCTTCCAGATGCTTTGCAGGTTGCTGGCAGCAACACCAGCCTTCTGCCTGCCGTCCACAAACTCAATGTCCCCGTCCACCTCACCTGTCACTTTCTCCCTCCGCTCGCTTTCATCGCCCGGCCTGAGCTCTCAGATCTACTGCAATGTGGAGGGCATCGCCTGGCTGGACGACATGCGCTTCATCGTATCGTCAGACAAGGCCAAGAAGACCCAGCCCTACCGCTGCACAGTCCACGACCAGTCCATCGGCATCTTCGCGCTGCCCTGAGCGCTCATCGCTGCGCAACTGACGGCGGCGCGCGGCCGCCCGCCCGGGCAGCCAGGGGCAGGCCCCCGCTTGTCTCTCAAGGGCCTGTGTCTGTGCAGGGTGCGCTGGCCGCCTTTCGCCGTCTTCCTGCCCGTGATTTTGCGGCCGATCAAACCAAAATTTGTCGGAAACACAAGCTTTGCCCCGAATCTGTCGCCTGGGCTGTGTTGGCTTCGGTCCACTGACACAGCTGCGGCCAGGCATGGACTGATGAATAGGGCCTCTGCTGATTAGATGGGCCATGGTGCTTGATGGGGCGAGGGCACCAAACTTTGCTGCGGAACGGAGACTGTCAGAACTGTCGCACTTGCAAGACGGCTGGGGCTGCTGCTGCTGGACCATCCTCAAATGGGCGCGGATACCTACAAGCACACACCCTTGATTCTGCACGCTTTTTGGACGCGAGGGCGCCCTGTCAATGCAACGCCTGCCCTCAGGACACGGCCCAGTGAGGCATGCATGTGCACGTTTGACGAGTCAACGCAGCCCACGCCTGCACCGCTGCAAACGGTTGAAGAAGTCCGAGTCACTGTGCTTTGCCTGCTTGTAACAGCTGGATTCTCTGGCACCACGCACCTGCTGCTCAGCATACCTGACGCACCCAGCCAACTCTCATCCAGGTTACCAACCAAGCGGGCATAACCTTGAAGCACTGGGTCATGACATGGTCACGGGTCATTGAAGAGGGCCTTGCATTCCAGCAGATAACTCTTGAAACAGACTGGTACAAAAAACAACCTCTCAGCAAACATGTGATGTCGTATACATGCTAGCCGTGATGCATTGGACCTGTGAAACAAGTTGTCATGGAACACAACAGTGGTCTAGCAACCAGGCAAATGTTTGTGAAGCTGCAAAGGACGCTGCAGTGGACCAAAAGAAACCACTGCCTCATAAGAGGCTGTACACCTCCCCTCGCCCCGCTCCGCCACCAGCGGCGCCCGCCGCCCGCGCCTGCGCCCCTGGGGGCAGGAGCAGGCCCCGGCAGCCGGCGCACAGGAGGCACGGCGCCTCTGGCGCCGCCGGGTGGTGCGGCGCGACCGCGACGGCGCGCGCCTTGCCGCACACGCCGCAGCGCCAGGCCGGCGGCGGCGGCGCGCGGAAGAGCACGCGAGGGTAGTTGCCCGGCGCCGGCGGCGGGTCGAGGGGATGCCGCAGGCGGATGTCGGTGACAAACCACCCGTGCTCGCAGCAGCCCTGATGGCAGTACAGGTAGGTGGGGCGGTTGGCAACCGCCAGGTCCAGGTCAGCCAACCGCACCTGCTCCATGCGCCCGCTGGTGCCGCCGCCGCCTGCGTCGTCACCCTCGCCGCCATCTCCGCCGCCGTCCCCCGCGGCCCCCTCCGCTGTCCCTGCCGCCGCCTCCGCAGCCCCTGCCGCACCAGCCTGCGCTGTCTTTGGTGCGGCCCACAGCCGCAGCGGAACCGTCACGTTGGCTTCTCGACAGAACGCCGCCACCTCCGCCCCCGCGTCCGCGGCGCGCGCGTCGCGGCCGTCACTGTAGAAGCGGCCGTCAATCCAGGCGTATGCCGAAGGCGCGGCCGCGCCGGCGCTGGCGGCCATGGCG